AAATAAATAAATCAATAAATAAATAAATAAATAATCTTTATGCTCTCTCCCCACCCTACCCCAATACCCAAAGACTGAAACCCCAAGCGACACGTACTGTAAAGTTGCATACTGAAAATACTCACAGATGTTCTTCCTTTGTTCTTTCAGATATAGCCAACAATGCCTGATATCTTTGCCAATGTCGCTGTAGGAATAATAAAAGGACTGGTCTATGCATATGATTTTGTGACATGGCCCATTTATTTCCTGGTGTTCAGTCCTGTCTATAAATTGAGTAAATCCAACAGAATTAAGGTAAGTCATTAACTGCACAAAGGTTATTGAACTTGAAAAAGTAAATTGTCTTAATAAGCATCATGCAGTCGGTAGCTAATTAATATAACAGCAGGATTTTGTCCAAGGAGGAATGCCAGCTGCAGGAGAATGAAGGAGTTAAAGAGACTATCCTCATAAAAAATTTAATTAAGAAAATAAAAACGGTGCCTGAACTAGGACCAGAGAGAGAGAGAGAGAGAGAGAGAGAGAGAGGATGCATGTTGGAAGGGCACACTTTTTACCAGCCCAATTTCACTGCACATCCACATATCAAAATGTTTAATTTCCTGGCATTCACCATTACCATCAATATGTACAAATGTCTCCAATACAGAAATTTAGAGACCATTCCCAGAGACTATCGTACTAACTTTGGATCGAACTATCTCCAAGGGGATTCTCGCTTAATTGCAATTAACTTAAGCGGCTAAGATATCTGTCATGCCTACAGAAACTGATAGGGGGTAATTAACTATAGTTAATTAGCAGCTTCAGCAGGCATGCCAGACACCTAAGCTACGTACCTAAGCTGAAAGATGGACCTATCCTGTTAGATCGATCTAGGGATGAGAACCCAGTCTTATATATACCACCTTCTCAAACTTGGGGAGGGGGGGGGGGGACATCAAATGTGGGACTTTGCATTGACAGGGGTCATGTACTAGTATGCTGCAAACTAATCAGTAATCAAAACAAGATGGCATGTGTGTGCCCTGGATAAAGTCTGAAAAAATGTCTAAATAGCATCATAGCTTGGAAGCTCAGATATGGAGGAGGCCAATATAGTTGTTGGTTTTATTTTTGAAAAACTGAGACTGATATCACTAAAGGATGCAGGACATTAATGCAAATTTGCTGAAATGAATGAGGGAGATAAAATTGCCCTGTCTATATTTTTATTTATAATCTAGGACACAGAGCGAGCAGCTGTTGATATATAAATGTTCCACATTTGTTGAATATCAGCATACAGGTAAAAGCAGTGTATCAAGGTGTATCTAGTTATTATGTACGTAGACAGGTGTGTATATATGAATTTAACATTCAGCTGAGGGCATGTGTAAATATGCACACATATGTATAGTGGAGTTGTTTTAATTTCAACTAGGAAAGCACACGGCTGAGACCAAGCTCTGCCATCACAGCTCTGTTCGCATTATTATTTATTAGTTAATTACTTCCTTAATTGATTGATTTTTTTTTAATCATCATCATTGAAATGCATCACTAGTTAATTACTCTC